TTGTGATTATAGTGTGTCTATAGCCAAAGTTATAGAATGCTAACTTTTGGCTGTTAAATTTCAGCAAAGTAAGGTAGTTAAATTCTTGTGTTATTTATATTTTGAGAGCTTAAGGAACTAAAATAACTTTTTTGAAGTTATTACTTATTTCTCCAAAAGTCTTGAAAATTATTTCCTTACATAAATCAATTGCACTCCCTTTGTATTATTTTGTTAATCCTAATAATTGATGAATGAGCCTTTAATTTATCTAGTTTGTTACAGTTTTTACACTTAAACTTGTATTGCAGAAAAGGAGTTCTGCACTAAGTAAAAGGTCTAACTTTTGACCCTACTTTGTGTCTTTGAGGTGGTTATTTAACCTCTCTGCCCTTTATTTTCCTTCTTTTTAAAACAATATAAATATATCCTACTTCTTTCTCACCCCCTCCCTCAAAACAAGGGGGCTGGAAATTGTATGGAGACTATATGCAAGATGAAAATGCATACACTGTGCAAAAATGAAAAATGATGTAAAAAATATAAAATAAAATAAAAAATTTCAAAAAAAGAGAAAACAATATGAATAGAATAAATAATCCTCTGGGACTTTCCCTGAACTAACATCCAGTGGTCAGTGTACTTCTCCCACATTGTCTTTCCTATTCCTCAAATAAGTGGTGCTAATAGTCATTGATTTATGTTCATACTCATTATGGTGATACATACTGCTTAAGAATGTAGGGCATATGAAAGAATTACCCTATGAATTGTTACAGATTCATATAGATATTATACTATTTTAGTAAACTTTCTCGCATGTACATTTCCATGACTGATAATTGTAGATGAGCTTTCCTAGGAGTTGTTGGTTTTCACAAAAATTTTCTAAGGTAGTTTTCTCTTTTCCATTTCTTAAAAGCCATTTCTTTCATGTGTCAAACATTGATAAATGTTCATTTAATATCTCACACTGTCTTCTTTTGCCTCTCCCACACTTTGCATCTTCTGACCCTTGTTTTTTTCTGTCATCTTTTCAATATACATATTATTATCTAGCAATTTATACATAATTATCTAGCAGCATATTTTCTAGTAAAGTATATTGTTTTCTGTATCATTCTCTCATTGGAATGCAAACTTTTTAAGTGTTGTTTTTTTTCATTAATGTATCCTAATCAGCTAGAATATTGCCTGACACTAGGCACTCAATAATTATTTGATTGAGTGATTAATACTTAGAAGTGATGTTTATTTTTTCAAAATTTTACCTTAACTTTAATTTTATTTTAAGCAAATATAGGTAATAATATATATCTGTACTTTTTCATATTGGTATTATAATCTCTATATCATAAATGGTGATTTCGTAATCTTGCTTTTTTATGTCCTCAGATATTTTATGCTTCATAGAGTAATAAAAATTCTCAAAGTTCATTTAAATTATATATGAATGTATATCTTAGTAAAGGGGATGAGATTTGAAAGATCAGTCAAGCAGTAAAAAAATAATCACTGCTAGAAAAACTTTGTTTTAGGTGTTTATGTGATATTTTAATTGACCTATCACTAGCTTTCTCAGAGCCAATGTTAAATTCATTTATTCCTTTGAAATATGGTTAGAGAAAAATCATATAGTGGGCCAAAGTTAGAGGTATTAAACATTGAAGAATAAGGATAATTTGCATGTGTTTATGTCTTATTGCCTTGGATGACTGATCATTTAAGGCATGATCACTTCTTTTCCCCTCTTTGGACAGCGGGTAAATCAGTCTCAACAAATATTGGGCAAGAATGACGCAAACGGCATGATGTCTGTGTTTGCATGTGCTGTCTAGTTCTGGCTTAGCTGAGTAAAGTTTATGTTATGTTCTAGTCTGCTACTCACTTTAATTCTAGTTAGGAGAAATTCCTGGGTATTATAGTAATACCTAGCCTATAAAAGTATAATCAAATAAGTGGTTTGAAGGGAAAAGGGTAACTTTCTTTTGGGAACGGAAAGTCACACCAGGCCTTCTTACACCAAGCAGTCGTCAGTGTCCATTCCAAAGCAACTTCAATTACCTGTGGTAGAAACACATCCAAAAACCCAGAAATAATTAAAAAAAAAAAAGTAACTAGTTCCCAAGACCACAGCAATTACTTAACCACAGCATTCAGAATAATTTAACCACATTAGAGTTTGTAGCCAGTGGTAAGTACTGAAAGCAACTCAGCATCTAAGAAGATGCACACAAGGCACTAATGAAACATCTCTCTTTGTCCTTTTATTTTTGGTTCCTGGATGCTCTGTAAGCAGATCTGCATGTGGGCCCTGTGTTCTTCAAGACTGGTCTAGCAGGCAAGGCTCTCTGTCACAGATTTTTATGAGAATTTGATCCTCTTGGCTTCTTTTTCAGAATTCTTCCTCCCCCCAGCCTTATTGAAGTATAATCAAAAAACAAAATTGAAGATATTTAAAGTGTATAACACGATGATGACTTGATATAAATTTTGAAAGACTCTTTAATTAAAGAATTTCTTTAACACTATCTTTCCACCTTTTTTTTTTAAAAAAAAGATTTATTTATTTATTTATACAAGCACTGGGTACAGTCAGAAGCGCAAAAGGGTGAGAGAATTCACCAGAGCCAGAGCAGGTAACAGAACAGGCTGACTGAGGAAACACACTGCTGAGGGGAGCATCGGGCACGGCAGGAGAGGTCTGTAGCGCCATGTGGGACCCTCGTTGGCAGCAGTGCTGCAGACACTGCAGGCAGCTTTGCAGCCCAGCGCTCAACTGCTGCACCACCAGGGAGGCCCTCCACTCTGTTCTTAATCAGGGATTGAAATTTTGAAGATAAGTGTTTTAAACTCAAAAGTGGACCCTCTTAAATATGCTAAAGTAGAATAAAATAAAATCTTGTTGTAATAGCCTCTCTCTAGTACAAACACTATTTTAATCTTTTTTTTTTATTTTAATATCTTAACAAAACAGTGGAATAATTCTTGGAAACTATTTTCACATATAGACCAGGAATAAATTGTAACCTTATTATACCCTTCCTCCAATGGTGTTTATTAATTTATTACATTCAGTTACCCATTTAAAAACTTGCATTTCTTCTTAAGTTCATGATTATTACTCAACTTATTCAGTTCAGTAAGGTTTTTCCTACAAGGGTTTTCTTGTATAAATTTTTTTTAAAATATTATTTTCTTTAAATTCTGAAAGACAGAATTTTTTTAGGATTTAAAACTTAAAAACCCTGTTCCTAAGGATTATGGCTGTTTTCATAGGCCAAAATCAGATATCTGAAAAAGCTTCTTTAAAGTCATCCAATCCAGTTACTTCCTCATTGTTGAAGAACTGAGGTACCTAGAAAAAGTACTTGCCCAAGACTAGAGTTATATTTAGTGTCAAAGTGGGAACTGGATCCAGGTCATCTAACTTCCAGTCTAATTTCCAGTCATCATAGCTGACTTCCCCTTGTATCTTATATATTGGGAATTTGGGGGCATTATTATAATCTAATAAGTTGGATACTGGCCATGTGAATCATTTTTGTGGGGTCACATCTGTGGCTTCTGACCTGCATGCTTTTTCTTCTCTTGGGTCCCCAACTTTATGTCATGGAAAAGGATTATTTCCAAATGAAGTGGTAAATTCCTCAGGTGCTATTTTTTTCTCTATTTTTGGAACCCTAGAAGTAATAAGGGTAATTGTTCGAAAGTAAATAAACAAGTTTTTTTTTTCATTCCTATTAAAAGTAATTTATTGGTTTATCTTATTTCAAGAAAAAGTGTTAATTAGTAATAATTAGTATTAATTAGTAATAATTAGTTGATTAGTAATAATTAGAATAACTGACTTGTTTGATAGAGGGTAACTTGAAAATTCCTATTTCCAAGACAGACTGGTACAGTTGGTATGCTACTAACTGTGTGTGTGTGTGTGTGTGTATAAATCAGAACAAAAAATTTTTCTGATGTCCTTAAATAAGTTATTTAAAAATTACTATTTATTTTATTTTTAGGTTCTTTGAAGTTTCTCTTGTGTTTACTTTTTGTACCAAGGTTTTGTACTAGTATTATGCATATTTAAAACTTAAAAAGAGATAAATATAGGGCCTCCCTGGTGGCAAGGTGGTTTGAGCACAGCCCTGTGGAGCTGCCTGCAGCCCCTGCAGTGCGGGTTCGATTCCTGGCTGGCTAGGGAGATACCCACATGGCACAGCAGACCCTTCCTGTCTCACCTGCTGGTCCCCTCAGCAGTGTACTTCTGTCAATCTGCCTGTTCTGATCCCCTCTCTGTCTCTGGTGAATCCTTTCACCCTCCCACGCCTCTGTATATGTTTCTTAGAAATCCTAAGAAACTTTTTTCTCATCTTGTCTGTATTCTGTTCTGTCCTGTCTACTGTGGTTAAAGCATGTCTTGAATACTAATTTTTAATTTTTCATTGTGCTTTTTCTTTTTGGGTTATAGGTTCACACCTCTTTAGGTGTATTTTCAAATGTTCTTTACCAAAAAGGGATTCTCTGCATATCCAGTCTACTTTGCAAAAGTTGAAAAGATGACTTTTAAGACCAATTCTGTAATCCATTCTTCATAATATGCTTTTATATAATTATAAATAATAGTTTATATTATTTACATAACTTTTTCTAAGCAACTTTCATTTTATTTATATTAAATACCTTTTTAATGTATTCTGTTACTGTATTGATAATTGAATATGGCATCATGATTTTCTGGTTAATATGAAGTGGTTGTTAATATTTTACACTTTAAAACAGTGACTAACTTACAAGATGACTACACAAATGAAAAGTGCAGCAGGTAACAGTGCAGTTTTCTTTGGATATTGCAGTTTGTGTAGAAAGACGCAATTCTTTGACCAAAGAAAATTGCACATTCAATATGTTGTTTGGGAGATCAATTTGTACTTTATTTAACAGATTATCCTAATAAATAATTTTTTACTTTATGCCTTTCTTAAGTTTATATTCTTCAATATTGATGTTTTCTGGTTTGTTTGCAGGTTTTCTTTAGGTGATGCTAGGCGGCCTCTTCATGAAACAGCAGTTTTGGTAGAAGATGTGGTACACACTCAATTAGTTAATCTGGTAAGAACATATATAATCTTATTTGATATTTCTCCTCTGCATTCTGATTATACTGGGGTTGCAGCACAATACTTTTTTTTTTTTTTTAAAGATTTATTTATTTATTTACACAAGCACTGGATACAGTCAGAAGCGCGGGAGGGTGAGAGAATTCACCAGAGCCAGAGCCGGGAGCAGAGCAGGCAGAAGGACCGAAGTACACTGCTGAGGGGAGCAGCGGGTGGCAGGAGAGGTCTGCGCACCATGTGGGACCCTCCTCCAGTGGCCAGGGAGCAGCCAGGGATCAAACCGGCACCACAGAGGCTGCGGGCAGCTTCGCAACCCAGCGCTCAACTGCTGCGCCACTGGGGAGGCCCTTTTTCAGAAATCTTTTAAAAACTTTTTTGTTTGGAATTTTAGACTTAAAGAAGTTTGTACAAGAATTCCCAGATATCCTTTAGCTTCTTCTGTTAATGTATTGTATAATCATAGTGCAATTATCAAAATCAGGAATTAACATTCTGTAATACTATTAATAAGCTTCTCACTTGACAGTATTTTTCTGACTCCATATTATATGACCTTCTCTACGTTGTCTCTGTGTCTCCATGTACCCTCTCCTCTTACAAGTGGAGAAACCAATGTAGGTTAGTATATACATTGTACTAACATGGTTAATATGGCAGAAATATACATTGGTTTCTGATGACAAGTCAACTGTTCTTTTGTTCCCATCTATAAAACATGTTGCCTTTGTTTGATGGTAAGATTTTCTCTTTTCATTGGTCTTAGCAGTTTGCTGTGTAAAAGATATTAAAAGTAAATATCTTTTAAAATCTTTCAGATATTAAAAGTAAATAAAGTAAGTATATTTTACTCTTTAGTACTATTGTTAATATACAACATTATAGAAATTTATTAATTTAATAGTTATTTAATCTATGCATGCTATTATCTTCCTATTTCCTTTAAAGAGGCATGTCTTTTAAAGGAATAAAGAGAAAAAAGGTAGTATATTTATTATTTTATATTTACCTACTTGTTTACCATTCTCCAAACTCACTGTTCTTATTTATAGATCTGAATTATCATTTAAATTGTGTCTTTCAGCTTGAGTGCACTAGCATTTTTTGTATTACATGTGTGCCAATGACGAATTTTTTTTCTTCTCAACTTTTTCCTTATGTTTATTCTTAAAATATGTCCCTTTTTTCCCTGTGGAATTCAGTTGATAATTTCTGCCTTTTAGTTCTCTGAATATGGTATTATAATTTTTACTGGCATACATTGGTTTTTGATGACGGTCAACTGGTTTATTGTTGCCATATATGTAATGTGTTGGCTTTGGTTGATGTTAAGATTTTGTCTTGTTATTGGTCTTAGCAGTTCGATGTGTCTAGGACTTTTTTTTCATCATTATCATCATTATCTTGCTTGCAAGTTTGTTAACCTTGTTGGATTTGTAAAATAATTTTTTTTTTGATAAAGGAGTGGTTATCCACTTAACTTCATTTATTGAACAATACTTAATTCTTTAACTGACATTGTTGTTAGTTTATGGTTTTAAGAACTTTTTATTTTTAAATCATTCTTCCTTTTTATACAATATATGCATTTTCCTCTCAGGTGTAGTCCCTGTAGAATTCCTACCACCAGTTCATATGTATACCATCACTGTAGTCCCTTGTGCTTTCCCTCCTGTTTTGACCCCTCTCCATACCCCTTCCCTTAAGAGTTTCTCTGATTTACAGTTGCCTGTTCGTTTTGTCTTTTAATTCATTATAATTATTATTTCCCTGATCCTTTATTTGTTTCCCCTACATTCCTCCTATAAGTGAAACCATCCGATATTTTTCCTTTTCTTTTGGGCTTATTTCACTGGGCATAATCCCTTCCAGCTCCATCCATGTTGCTGCAAATGGCATAAGTTTATCTTTTTGGATTGCTGAGTAATATTCCATTGTGTATAGATACCATAGTTTCTTGATCTAGTCATCTATTTTTGGGCATTTGGGTTGTTTCCATAGCTTACCTATTGTAAATAGTGCTGCAGTAACATAGGGGTGCAGGGATCCTTGTGAATTAATGGTTTTGTGTTCTTTGGGTAGATTCCTACGAGTGGAATTGGTGGGTCATATGGGAGCTCCATTTTTAGTAGTTTGAGGAATCTCCACACAGCTTTCCATAGTGTTGGACCAGTTTGCATTCCCACCAGCAGTGTAGAAGGGTTCCTTTTTCTCCACATCCTTGCCAGCACTTGTTTCCTGTTTAAGGTGGTATCTCATAGTGGTTTTGATTTGCATTTCCCTGATTAGAAGTGATGTTGAACATCTTCCATATACCTGTTGGCCATTTGCATTTCACCTTTGGAGAAGAGTCTTTTTAGCTCTTCTGCCCATTTTTTGAGTGGATTATACTTTGTTTTTGTTGAGTCACATCAGCTATTTGTAGATCTTTGTTATCAGTCCCTTATTGGTAGAAATCAGTATGCAAAATTTTCTCCCAATCAGTAGGGTGTTTCTTTCGCTGTACAGAAGCTTTTTATTTTGATGTAGTTCCAGCTGTACTTGATATGCTGTACATCTACACACTGGATGTATTTCCTGGAAGGTTCATCTGCCAGTAGCACTGTTCCAACCTTCACCTGAGAGGGACTAGAGCCTGGTTTTAGGACCTTCAGAATCTACAGATAAAGAAAGTTTGGTAGGCTTATTTCTGTAGGTTTTCAGACCATGACTGCAACTGTTAGAACCTATTCACCGGCCACTTCAGGGTCCACTGGGACAGAGCTCTATGTCACTATTTCCCAAGGTATGAGTGGGTATGGTTTCTCCCAGGCTCTCTGATATGTGTTACTGATGACAGGTGACAGGACTTCATCCAAACAGTACTGTAACCTAGTCACTAGAAGTACAGAGCTGTTCTGGGTCTGTTCCTGTTACCATATAGAGCATATCAGCTATCTGATGCAGAATTGTGTTCTCAAAACAACTTTCTTTAGTTCTGGACTCCACCAGAATTTTGCAATCCCCTCGTTGAATCCCAAAGCAACCCAAAAGGCATTTTTGTCCATGCATGGTAGTTAAATTATTTTTGCTGAGGGTGAATACCAGTGTGGGATGTATTATTCAGCCATCTTCCTAATGTCACTCCCATCCTTTAGTTCTTTGAACTTATTTATAATAGTTCCTTTGAAGTCTTTTGTCTCCTAAATTCAAAATTTCAACCATGTTGAAATCCATTTCTATTGTTACCTCCTTTTACTCATTTATCTTTTTGTTTCTTAGTATGTCTAGTAATTTTTGTTTTAAATGTGGATATTATAGATAATATACTATTGTGCGTCTTCTGAAGATTGTTGTTGCTTTTAGTTTAGTTGACAGACAGAAATACAAGCTCTGTCATCTTCTGCAGCAACTCACATTTCTTCTGAGTTCTTACAACTTCCTGCCAGTGGTTTTTTTCATTTGGCCACTGCTATGCCTCCCATGAGATGTGCATTTTGGTGTGTGTCAGAATTTGAGCTAATCAAAGGAGAAAAAAAATAGTAGGAATTTTTTAAAATGTTAATACTTTATTATAAAATAATGGAGTAAAAATGTTTTTTTAATATTTATTTATTTATGCATACAAGAACTGGGGTACAGGCCAGAGTTGCGGGGGGTGAGAGGATTCACCAAAGACAGAGTGGGGAGCAGAACAGGCAGACTGACTGAAATACACTGCTGAGGGGAGTGAAACAGGAGGTCTGCTGTGCCATATGGGCAACTCCCTGGTGGGCTGATCCGTGCTGCAGAGGCTGTGGATAGCTTCACAGTGCTGTGCTTAACCCCCTGTGCGGAGAAAAATGTTTTTTTGTTTTTTTTTTAATTTGAAATTTATTGTTTCAGTTGTTCAGATCTATGAGTTTTATAACCACTACCACCACAATCAAGACTCAGAACAGCCCCATCAACTCCCCCCGATTTTATCATCTGTATTCAAACCATTCCTTGCTCCAAACTTCTGTCTCCTTGAGGCAACATTTCTTAGGAGCATTTTCAGAGGGTTTGTCTTATAGCTGTTGGTGTATGTCAGATAGACCAGATTCACTTAGTTTTTATGCTCTGGGTAAGAGTTACTAGTGGCAACTAAAAGTCATGAAACTTACAAGCAGATGTTTGTATTTTGAGTTCTGATTTCCTTTCCAAGTCTGTCTGCTAGTATTTACTCATCAGAGTTCCCAGATACATATTTTATACATTCTATCCAAGGTTTTTGATTGCATTCAAAAGGAGAAGCAGTGTGGGGTATGCTTTTGCCATCTTATCTGGCTAGAAATTTGATTTTAATAATTTTTCTAACCATTGTTGGATTGCCTAAATCAGTAAATCAATTTTTAAATTTTTTATTGCTATATACTTGACATAATAATATTATACTAGTATCAGCTGTTCAATATAATTATTTGGAATTTGTATGTATTATAAAATAACCACCACAATAATGAATCCACTTTCCGACTTTGTTGTTCTTTCCTCTAGCCCCCCTCTTTACATCATAATCATGATACATTTTAATCACGTCATATCAGTTTCACAGTGTTGCCTAAAAATTTCTTCTTCTCATACTGATATAAAGTAAAAAATATCTTACTTCCAAGTAGGAATTAATTTGCAAGTAGAATATTCTGTTAGTTTCAGATTTAAGCCTTCTCAATTAAAAAAGTACTGTTTTGTTACCTCTCGTGGTACTGCCCTTTAAATTTTTGAAGTTTATGCATTTGCACATGAGAGACCTCTTTTGATAGTTTTTTTAAAGATTTATTTATTTATGCATACAAGAACTGAGGTACAGGCCAGAGATGCAGGGTGGGGGAGGTGAGAGGATTCACCAGAGACAGAGTGGGGAACAGAACAGGCAGATTGACGGAAATACACTGCTGAGGGGAGCAGTGGGCAAGTCAGGAGAGGTCTGCTGTGCCATGTGGGTATCTCTCTGGCTGGCCCAGCGATCGAACTCATGCTACAGAGGCTGCAGGC